TCTCTCTCTGTGTCTCTCTCTCTCTGTGTCTCTCTCTCTCTCTTTTCGTGTGTGTGTGTCTGCACACTCGCATATGCTTTGTGCGTGGACATCCACTTCACAGCCTTTGGCGCTTCTCACCACATACACGAAAGGCAAAAACCATGGGGATGAATTTTCCCATGTACAGGCGGAAAATACATTCTCATTTTCCACATTTGGTGAGAGGTGGAGCAACGCCCAACGACGGCCACTCGCGAAACTCCTGGCAGATTGTCATTTTCATCATTGCAGGACGTTTCTACACCGCTTTCAGAAATTCAGAGTTGTTGTTGAAAAAAGCGTCGAAATGGTGTCACACGGTGCACCCCCGCCGCACACGTGCCCCACCGGTATAGGAATCAAAATCAAACTCGTGCGACTGGCACTTGGCCCCCGGACTGTCTACCTCCGCTTCGACAGATCAACGAGATGGTAGATTCAGCAGATGAGTCTCAACGGGCAATAAGCATTAAAAAAGAAGAGGGAAAAAAGAAAAAGGTCCAAAGAAACGGAGAAAAGCATCAGCTCCGCTGCTGAGACCGAATGACAGGATTTTCCTTGCTTGTAAAAAAACAAAAAAAAAGATTTCCCTTGCCCTTTCTTTTTTTTCTTTTTTTTCTTTTTGGGAGAATTTTTGTCCATTTGGTCCATTTCTCCATTTATGCGTGTCATTCATCCTTGCGTAGAGTCCATGCTAATCTTCTTCCTCTGTATCGTTTCAATTTTGACAATGGCCGGAAGGACGTTGCGCCCCCCCCCCCGCCCCCTCCTCTTTTGTTATTTAAACTTATTTTGCTTTTTCTATTTCCTTAGGCGTGAGACGGCATTACGAAAAAGGAAGAAAGAAGAATTTTTTATATTTTTCCCCACTCCCCTACCCTAGTTGCGCAGAACCTATCCCTCCTCGTGTTCATATAGTCCAAACTGAAGACTCTCTCTCTCTCTCTCTCTCTCTCTCTCTCTCTCTCTCTCTCTCTCTCTCTCTCTCTCTCTCTCTTTTTTTTTTAATGAAGACTATTCTTGTGCTTGTCGAGGGAGATAATAACCTTTTTCTCGGCTTTAGGAAACAGCCGCTCATCCCTGATGATGGCTTCAATGCCGCTTCATTAAGCGCTCGAATGGTCCGTGATGATGGCTTTTTTTCTTCTTTTTTTTTTTCTTTTTTTTTTTCTGGCGACGAAGCCAAAACCGGTATGGACGACGCCAAGAGATTTAAGTATATTCCCTCTTCTTCAAAAGAATACGTCTTATTCGCGCTCATCTCCCGCTTGACCTTCTTTCTTCTCCTCTGCTATTATCTTCCTTGAAGTTCCTCCTCCTACTTCTCCCTCTTCTCCCTATCCTCCTCTCTCTCTCTCTCTCTCTCTCTCTCTCTCTCTCTCTCTCTCTCTCTCTCTCTCTCTCTCTCCATTCTTCTTCTTCTTCTTCTTCTTCTTCTTCTTCTTCTTCTTCTTCTTGTCGCTGAAATTGGCTGAAGGGTAATTTTCTAAAATGGCGCGTTCGTGGTAGTTTCACAGCAAAAATATTGGCAAAAATAGTGGCGGTGCGCAAATTTGGTCACAAAAATACATCTTTCGTTGCAGCTTAACACGTCCCGCTAGTTTCACAGCAAAAATATTCGCGGCCGCTGGCCGGGATGCCACTTTCGTTTTCAAAAATAAATATTTTAATACGAAGAGAACTCAGGATCAACAACACAGTTGCA